TACTTGACAAGTGTCAAGTGCATGTTTACTTGAACTCCTGTGAACTTGATATATGCTTACCTGCTATCAATGCTTTGAGATTTTGAAAATGGAGTTGAGTGTGTACTTTATCGCACTCGTTCTCATTTGAAAACATTAACTCATGCTCCAAATGCTTGAATATATCAAATGCTTGAATGACATGAAATACTATGCTATGACTGCATACGTCACTGGAGTGAATCTTCTCGACACACACATGTACATGGGGGATGCCCATACTCATAGGCTGACCTTGGGACTCGAGCCGGCACGGGCTTGGTCAGGAACCTCGGTGAGCCATGAGATTGACATGATAAGCTTGATCTATTGAAGAGATCTTGTTTGGCATACTCGTGGAGTATCGCCTTATAAATGTCTTGCGGGCCCGGAGCGGTATGTAAGGTATACGGATTTAGTGGAGATCTACGGATTTGAAATACCGACCCGGTTGACGGAGAGTCATCGCGGGAAGGTATACGATTGACCTTGGCAAAGCAATTGGAATCTAGCTCCTGAGAGCTACCATATCCTTGAATTGTTTCTGTTTACATTTTCTTGATATTGTTAATTACTTGCAATTTACCAATTGACCTGTTATTTAGGCTTATTACTTGGACTATGTGCTTGCATGTGTGTTCTTGGCCTCACGAGCGTTTTGCTCACCCTGTAGATTTGTTTTCCTTAACAGGAATGGGCTTGGAATGAGACTCGAAGGAACTCCCTTTTGATGTACTTTTGTATTAGGGTTTCTAATGTGTTTTGGACTAGACCTCTTATTGGTTGTACTTTTGGGAACCTAATGTATGATTTGGATATTTGATGTATTTGGATGTAGTACATTTTGGATTTTGATGTACTTTTGGAAATCCGAGGCAAGGATTGAATAATTGTTATGAAATGTTAAGTTTGAAGTTTTCCGCACTTTCTTACTTTATGTAGTGTTGTTGAATAGTATTACGTTAAGCTTGTGAGAACCCTCACTTTAAAACGAAATTTTCCCAAATTATTTGCCTCATCCTATCTTTATCCTAGGATTTAAATCATATATTATATGCCTTTACATTATATTCTCTACGTGTTACAATAATTTTCATGCATTACACATCATTTCTTTTTATTTGAAGTAAAACATTTTTCTTGAGTTGATTTTAATTAATGCACCACTTGCATTTGTCCAAGTGTTCTTTTATTAGTGGTAGAGACTTTATGTGAGAGATTAGGTGTGTTAAACAAGTATTGGTACAATTGGAAAGGTTAGTATATCATTAGTCAAAGATTAATAAAGGATTGGACCAAGATGGAGCCAAGTGGCAAAACCCTAGCCATGGATTTTTGTTAGACCATAAGTTAGAAGATTATTTAAGCTAGCTTTAGCCATTTTTTTTCTCCCTCATAGCCGACTTTCTTGAAGCTTGGAGAAGAAGGGAGAAACTCCATTTTTACTTTGCTCTTAACCCTAGTAAATCTTGAGAGAAAAATCAAAGAGAAAGATCTTGAGTTAGGGTGAAACTTTACTCCAACCCTAAGTGCTTGATTCAAGCTTGAAGCTTCACTTTGGTGGATTGATTTGGTGGTTCAAGCTCACTACAAGAGAGGTATATGTTCTTTAAATCTTGTTTTTATGGTGATATATCATGCACTTGAAGTGTTAATGGCAAAATACAAGTTGTTTGGTTGAGATTAGAGGTTGATCTCTTGAATTAAACAAGTAGTAGTTAAGCTTCTTAGTATGCACACCAAGTGTTTGATGAAATGTTTGGATCTTGTTCATGTTTGTTTATGAGGTATTATTATGTTTTAAACATCTTTTGAGTTAGATCTACCACTTGATATGTTATATTAAGAGAAATAATGCAAGAATGAAGGTTGAACAAATATTGGAAATTGTGGGCTGTTTGCTCTTTTCTTGGCTGGCCGGTTCTTGAAGGAAGGGTTTTCCCTTGATTTTGTTGTTCAATTATGCCCTAATCAAGCCTAATAAACTAGCTTAACTATTGGTTAAGCCGATGAGTGAGTTGGAATGGAATTGAAGCAAGTAAAGTGGTGATTTTGAACCATTAGTAGACTGTTTTGGATTCTTGTAATTATGAGACTATTGTGGTTGCCTTAAATCATGTTTGTGTTTTGCATTGTGAACTCCATTGATCCTAGGTGACTTGACTCCTTGTATATGATCACTTGAGGAGTGATTTGGGTGAATTTGGATCAAAACTAATGAAGTTAGCACCTAGAACTAGAGTAGTTTGGAATACGGTCAATGCTGATCCAGGGTTGGAAAAACAGCCACATTATCTGAGTTACTGTTGTCGATAGGGGATGAACCACAGTGTGAGTTTGGTACTGTTGGAAAGCCCTTCGAGTCTAGTTTCTAACGCCACTGACGGCACCTAATTCTGACTTTTCTACAGTGAGTTATGACCGTTTTCCTAAGACTGCCAGGGCAAGACTGTTCAACCCGAGAAGAAACTCTTAAGCTTGAAAGAAACTTTTCTTTTGCCGAACTTTCATGCACTTATTAAACATATTTTCTCATGAACTTTTACCATGGTTTGGACCTTATTTGTGTGATGGATTAAGTAGCTTAGACTACTCACTTGGTCTCTTAATGAGCCTAACTTAGTAAGGCATGAACCTAATGGTTAACAATTTTCACTCGTTGCCCTAGGGGTGAGAAACGAAGGTGGTCGTAACTGAGAAACTTGACGTTTGACTACTGTTTTGCTTGACAGGTGAGTGTTCTACTACGTGCTACCTGCTTAAGTGAAATATCTGAATACTTGATTTATGACTGTTTGAGCCAAACCCTGATTTGATAAAAATGGAGGCGAGTGTGTACTTTATCGCACTCGTCCTCCCTCACTTTCCACTGAGGCTCTGTATACTGCTATTATGAAATGTGAATTCTCTATATGTGACTGTATTTGAATTGTTTGGGTGATATTCCATCAACTACTACTACTGTTTGGGTACCCAACCTCATAGGTGAGTCGGTTCTATCAAGCCAACAAGGGCTTGGTCGAGAAGGCCGATAAACCTTAGGGACTGATTACTGAACACTGGAAACTGGTATACTCGAGTATTACCTAACTACTGTTTATGTAGTGCGGGCCCGGTAGGGGGTTGATTGGTGGACGTAGATCGGTGAAAGTGGTATTCTACGGACTTGATATTCTGTTTATACAAGTGTTGACGGAGAGTCAACGGAGACATTTATGATCAAGCTCAAGGGGATTTTGGCTTTTGAAAGCCACCCGTATCCTTGCATTAAACTGTGTTTGCACTACCTTGCCATTGGATGGTTTATTTGGTTATTTTGTGCCCCAATTTGGCTATGTGTTTACTTGCTTTACTTGGAACCTTACTGAGCTTTAGCTCACCCCACTCCCTTTGTTTTCCTTAACAGATCGGGGATGGACTAACGGTCGAGAGCTTTCTTAGCTTTATTTTGCTTGAATTTGTAACCTTTGGTTAAGATGACTTTACTTTTGACTTTTGTAAGCTTAAATTCATAAGTTCAACTTATGTTATGTAATTATAGTGTGGAGTGGTAAGTGTGACTTTTAGCTTGCCATTTTATGTTTGGAAAGTTGGCTTGACGTTTATAGGCTTTTAGGGTTTGTACGCTTTATTTTGAAGTTATTTCATCAGTTATTTTGAGTTGTTAGTTCTTTGATCGACTGAACCCCGGTGAGAGTTGGGCAGGCCGTCCGCTGATACCCTAGGGTTCACCCTAGGGAGAGGTGGGGCTGTCACAGTTGGTATCAAAGCTTAGGTTTGAATTAGCCTGGGCGAGTTAGAAATTTCCGACATGAGGATTATATTTGATTATTTTCCTTAAGAGTACTAAAGTTTATCTACACTTTTGTGTAGGATGGACGGACATAGTGGCCATACTGATAGTCCAGTTGGTGAGCAGCCCCGTGGAGTACTCCCCATGATTAAGTATCAAATCCGGCCTGGAGGAGCTAGAGTTTATTAGAGCCCGTGAAATCGCTACAGGCGTTGCGAGTGCCGCCACACTTATGCCTACCGTAATGAAGTAGTATTGGCTGTAGTAAAAGAGCGTAAGGAGCTTGCAAGGGATAATGCTAGGCTTGAAGCCGAAGTGAACCAACTAAGGGAAGCTAATAAAATGCAAGCCGAGCGGATTAAGGAGCTCGAGTATGATATGGTTGAGGGCCAAGAGAGGATTGACGATCTTTGCGCACAGTTGGGGGAAACTCAGGAGCGCATGGTTACTAGAGCAATGAAGGTAAGGACTAGAACGGAGTCCATTCTGAACGCTTGTGATGATCTTCTAGAAGAAGCGAGCGATGAGGCTTCTTATACTGGTATTGGTTCGGGAGATGAACCCGCCGAGGTTGGGGGGTCAGCTAGTCCCGCCACGGACTAAGCCTTTACCATTAGGTTGGGATAGTGGATGATTTTGACCCTTGTACATAGGAAGGTTAGGGGATATGGTGACTCGGTGGTTGTATAGCTTTCTTTTGACTACTTGTGTTAGGTTTTGCTTGATATGACTATATCTATACTTTTGGGGGCTCGTACTTGGTCCTGTTACCTTGTAAATGACTGCTATGAGCCTTTTAATGTATAATACCTTGATTGTTGACCTTGATCTTTGACTGTTGACTGCTGACTTTTGACTGTGACTTTGACCTTGACTTTGACTTTATTTCGACATTGATCTTAACTGCTGTGCATTTCACTCGCTTATCGTGATTTTGATTTCCATTTCTTATTTGACTTTCAATATATATAAGCATCTATCATATACCATATTTCCTTACCCTGTTAGTTATTATACGTGGGCACTAGGCTAGTGAGTAATAATGGAGACTAGACAAAGACGTACTCGGGGCCGTGGACGAGAATCCAGGCAAGTCCAAGACCAAGAGGAGGAACAAGGTTCGGTGGCGAATCAAAACCAGGGACCCCGAGGTGATGGAGGGGACCAAGTAGCAACAGCTATTAATTGAATGACTGATTTACTGGCCCGCTTGGTTGACCAGCTGGGTCAAGTACCTGGTAACCAACAAAGAGACCCTGAAGTAGGCGAGGATAGGGCCCTGGAGCGGTTTCAAAAGTTTGCTCCTCCAAAATTTCTTGGAGGACTTGAACCTGAAGTTGTCGAGAATTGGTTCGAGCGAATGGAGGATATATTCGCCGCTCTACATTACACTGAAGAGAGGCAAGTTACCTTCGCCGTTTTCCAACTAGAAGGTGCGGCACGTTCCTGGTGGAACGTAGTAAGGGTCAAGTGGGAAAGGGAGCAAACCCTACGTACTTGGTTAAACTTCACTAGAGAATTCAATGAGAAATTCCTCCCGCCCTTAATCCAGGAGAAAAGAGAGGACGAGTTTATCAAATTGGGCCAAGGCACTTCAAGTGTAGCAGAATATGAGACCCAGTTCACTCGACTCTCCAAGTTTGCTCCAGAATTGGTGGTTAGTGAACAAAAGCGCATAAGACGATTTATACAAGGCTTGAATGTGGAAATTCAAAAGGATTTAGCTGCTGCTCAAATCGACACTTTTAAAGATGTGCTTGACAAAGCTCAACGAGTGGAGCAGGCTCGACTTCAAGTTCGAACCTTTCAAGCCAAGAAACGAGGTGTATCTAGTAGTGCTTCTGGACGAGGTGATCAGAATGTACCACCTCCTAAGTTTGGAAGAGGTGCAGGTGGAGTCCGAATTGGTGAGGGACAAAAGGGAGGAGCTCCATCTAGAGGGACTCCAAGCGGAAAGGGACAAGGGCAACATAGGACCGTCTCCCAGGGAGTTCCTACACCCATTTCTCGTGCAAGCTGTGGATATTGTGGTAGGACAAACCACACCGAGGACGCTTGTTGGCGAAAGTTGAAGAAGTGTCTCCGTTGTGGGAGTTTTGAGCATCAGATCGCCACTTGCCCTGTTAAGAATCGTGAAGGAAATGAGGGTGCTCAGCCGGAGAAGTCAAATCCTAAGCAACCAACTGCTAGTAGGGGTAGACCTAAATCCTCTGCTAGGGTTTTTGCCTTGGATTATCAGCGAGCCCCTGAGTCCTCTGAAGTGGTAGAAGGTACGATCCCTATATTCCACCGCTTAGCTAAGCTTTTAATTGACCCTGGGGCAACCCATTCTTTTGTGAATCCTGCCTTTATGTGTGGTATTGATGTGAATCCTGTTAAATTGCCCTATGACTTAGAAGTTAAAACACTTACTGGGGAGCAAAACCTAATTACCAATATGGTTTATAAAAATTGCGAGATTTGGGTAGGAGAACGGAAGTTAGTGGGAGACTTGATAAGTTTAGACCTTAAGGTGTACGATGTAATTATAGGCATGGATTTGTTGGCCCGTTATAACGCCCAATTGAACTGTAAAACTAGGGTGGTGGAATTCTCGATACCCGGAGGGCAACTTTAAGGTTGGATGTGAGAGGTAGGTTAGCCTCGTCTGCGCTTGCTTCGGGAATTCGAGCTAGAAAGTTATTGAGTAAAAGGGCGCAGGGCTACTTAGCCTTCTTAATTAATACTCCTGGAGATAAGGTGAAACTGGAGGACGTTTTAATAGTAAATGAATTTCCTGATGTCTTTCCCGATGAGTTGAAATCGATGCCACCAGAAAGGGAAATAGAATTTAAGATTGATTTGGTGCCTGGAACTGCTCCCATTGCAAAAACACCCTACCGAATAGCTCCCGCCGAACTTAAGGAATTGAAACTACAGTTACAAGATCTGTTAGAGTGAGGGTTTATTCGAGAAAGTAAGTCACCGTGGGGAGCGCCTGTGTTATTTGTTAAAAAGAATGACGGTAGTTTGAGACTGTGTATTGATTATCATGGCTTAAATGATGTAACGGTGAAAAATAAATATCCTTTGCCACACATTGAAGAGTTGTTTGATCAACTACAAGGAGCAGTAGTTTTCTCTAAGTTGGACTTGAGGCAAGGTTATTACCAGTTACGAATTAGGCAAGAGGATATACCGAAAACTGCCTTTAATTCCAGATATGGTCATTTTGAGTTCGCCGTGATGCCTTTTGGTTTAACAAATGCTCGTGCTGCATTTATGGATTTAATGCATCGAGTCTTTAAACCCTATTTGGACCAATTTGTTGTGGTATTCATAAATGATATTCTGGTATATTCAAAGACTCGAGAGGATCACGAATGACATTTGAGGATAGTTTTGCAGACTTTAAGAGAACATCAATTATATACCAAGTTTAGCAAGTGTGAGTTCTGGTTGGAGCAAATTTCTTTTCTAGGGTATATAATATCTAAAAATGGAATTTTCTGTGGATCCAGTGAAAGTAGAGGCTGTAGCTGAGTGGAAACGCCTGGAAACCCCGACTGAGGTCCGTAGTTTTCTAGGTTTAGCCGGGTATTACTGTCGGTTCATTAAAGATTTCTCCAAGTTAGCCGGTCCTTTAACCAACCTGACCAAGAAGCATGGCCAATTTGTCTGGAATTCTAAGTGTGAAGTTAGTTTTCGGGAGTTAAAGAAACGGTTAACGTCGGCACCTGTTTTAGCTTTACCAAATGGGAGAGATAGTTTTACTGTATATACGGATGCCTCAAGGGAAGATTTGGGATGTGTTCTAATGCAAAATGGGAGTGTAATTGCCTATGCCTCTAGGAAGTTAAAACCCCACAAGCGAAATTACCCCACTCACGACTTAGAACTGGCCGTTGTAGTTTTTGTATTAAAGAAGTGGAGGCATTATTTATATGGAGTGACTTTTGAGGTATATACCGACCATAAGAGTTTGAAATACCTATTCTCTCAGAAGGAGTTAAACTTGAGACAGCGTCGGTGGGTGGAATTCTTGAGGATTATGATTGTACAATTAACTACCACCCAGGCAAGGCCAATGTTGTAGCGGATGCTTTAAGCCGACAAGTGCAAGTAGCTGGATTGATGGTTAAGGAATGGAGTTTGTTGGAGGAAGTGAGTGAATGGAACCCGCGATTAGACCGACAGAGGGTAATTTTCTGCAATATTACAGTAAGATCTGATTTGTTGGACCGAATTAAAGAGGCTCAAAGGAATGACCGAATGGTGCAAAAGTGGACAGAAAAGGTGCAAAAGTGGACAGAAAATGTGCAAAAAGGGGAGTTACAAGACTTTAACGTGAGTTCCGAAGGTATCTTAAAATTTCGTGATCGGATAGTGGTACCGCAGGATGAAATGATAAAGGGGATATTTTGGAAGAGGCACATCGGTCCAAGTATACAGTGCATCCTGGAAGTAGTAAAATGTACCAAGATTTGAAAAGGCTGTATTGGTGGGATAAGATGAAAAAGGAAATTGCTCAGTTTGTCCAAAAATGTTTGGTGTGCCAACAAGTGAAAGCTGAACATCAGAAGCCCTCAGGTCTTCTGCAACCTCTAGAAATCCCTGAGTGGAAATGGGAACATATTACTATGGATTTCGTATCAGGGTTACCCCGTACCCAGAAAAGTCATGACGCCGTTTGGGTAATAGTAGATAGGTTGACCAAGTCTGCTAATTTCTTACCTATAAATATGAAATACTCTTTGGAGAAATTGGCCCAACTATACATGGATGAGATTGTGAGATTACATGGGATCCCTGTAAGCATTGTTTCTGATAGAGACCCACGATTTGTGTCTCGTTTTTGGTAACAATTACAAGGGACCTTGGGGACCAAGTTGAACTTTAGTACTACTTACCACCCCTAAACTGATGGACAATCAGAGAGGACCATTCAGACACTTGAAGACATGTTGAGGACCTATATTCTGGATTTTGGTGAAAATTGGGGACAATACATGGCTCTAGTTGAATTTGCATACAATAATAGTTACCATTCTTCAATACAAATGGCACCGTATGAAGCTCTCTATGGAAGAAAATGCCGATCACCAATATTTTGGGATGAAGTAGGAGAAAGAAGGGTTTTAGACCCAGTTGCAGTACCATGGATCGAGGATGCGTATGAGAAAGTGAAAGTGATACTGTGAGAACCCTGAAATATATATATAAGCCAGTGCATATTTCATTTGCTTTTCTTTTATTCCTTAATAATTTCTAGCATTACTTTTACTTGTTCGCAACTAAGTACGCAAAAATAGGGTTATGTGAAAAATAATATAATTTTCCTAAGTTATGAAATTTCTTGGTTTTGCTAGACTAAATTAATATCTTTAGAGTTAGATTAAATTTTTCGCCTTAGCATAAAATGTTAGAATACTTAAATTCCCTTATGCGAAATTAATGACACTTGAGTCGATAAACTTACTATCTTAAAACAAACTATTTAAATTCCAATGATTAATTCCAATTAGTTGCTAATGTTAAATGTTAATAGGAATTTCCGCGTTAAGATGAAAACCAATGAATTTTAGATAAACATGATACTAATATACTAAACATACTTAAGCCGTGAAAATTTCGATAATTATAGTCTTATCCTTCTTTGTTTTCACAATAAGTGCGTAAAAATAATTTTATGTGCAAATTGACACACTGGTAGTAAACTATTATTTCGCTTGATTCTATATTACTAAATCGATAAATTTCGAGTTAGACTAACTCTATTTCTTGAGAATAAATAATTGGATATTCTGATAACTAATTTAATCGCTAAATAATGTTAGGAACCTTAATATTAAATTGTGATCAATAAGTACTCGATAAAAATGGTTTAAGTATACTAGTGTATAATTAGGCGTTCAAATCACACTTGGAGATAATTTTTGGAATTAAGTTAAAATGGAGAATTTAAGTAGAGGTTAGGTAGCAAAGTGAAAAGACTAAAATGCCCTTACAACCCCAACGTTTCCATGCAAAACCAAACAATCCCTCTGACCGCATTTCAATCACCGCCCCAATCGGCCAATCACATTTTCACCAATTCTATACGCAAACCATTTCATACACGCCAACTCCTCCAAAACCGCAAGCCATTCCCTCTTTCTTCTCAATACCGCGATACCACCACACTCCACTACTTCATCTCTGATTCACAACAACACCTCATCTCTTCCTCTGCCTTAGACCGAGAGTAAATAAGAGGAGGTGAGAAACCAGCCATCCGAGAGCAAGAGTGCGAGAAAACAAGCTGCAGAAATTTTCTTTCTCTCGTTCTGATCGCGAGCTGAGGGCAAAAATCAGAGGACCACGAGTGAAAGCAATCGATCCTGTACCTTCCCTTCTCCCAGCCGTGGCCATTTGCAACCTCAACCAAGCTGCACTTCACCATCCCAGCCGCAACTCATCAAACCAGAATCAAACTTGCGCGTGAAGCCAAGAGGAAGGAAAGAAATTTCCAGATTTTCGTGTGGGAGTTAAGTTCATATCTGAGGTAATTTCTGGGCTAATTAAGTTAATTGCTAGTAGATGAAGCCATATCAGAGCTTGCATGAGTTGCTTGTGCAGTCGGTTGATGAAATTAAGTCACTAGAAAATTTTCTGTTTTGGCTAAATGGCTCTGCCGAGGAGCTGAGATGGAAATGCAGCTCTTGATTTATTTACCTGCGACAATTTGAGCTCAATTAAATATTTAACCAACTAAAAACAAGAAGGTTAAGTCATCTAGGAACATGCATGTGAGTTTAGGCAGCCGGATTTGTAATTAAGAAAAGAAGAAAACTGATGTGTGCAAGTTTGAATCTGCCGAGAGCTTAACTTGATTAATGCAGCTTGATTTGGTTCAATTTTGTTGTTTGAGCTTATAATCATAATTAGCTAGTTAATAACAAGTTAATTAGGCTCTGCATGTAGTTAATTAATTAGTTTGAACCAGAAAAATAAAATCAAAATGCAACCTGCCACATGCATGTTCATCCGAGCCAAGCTGGAATAGATTTTAGAAATTTTGATGTTGATGGCCGTTATTTGAACTCGATTTCTAAACTGGAAATGTTAATCACTGGTTAAGCATCTGCATATTGAATTTGAGTTCCTAACACCTCGACTTAACCAAGGAAAATCTGGTTTTAGAACCATTGTTATTGCTGGGAAGTTTGAGAAAAGCCGTGAGGTTTAAACCTGGAAATTTTGGTGTTTGTAACCATGGTTTAAATTCGACTCTTGAACTGGAAATGTTCATTGTCTAGCTAAGTAATTGCATGAGGAAGTTGAGAGTTTAATAGCATGTTTTAACCAAGAAAGTAAAATGAAAACAGAAAGTTTCTTCATGCATGATTCATCCGCAGCTAGCTGGACAGATTTCTGGAATTTTTGGGATGTTTGAAGCTGTTATTCGAATTCGATTTTGAACCAGAAATGTTAATTAGTTAGCCAAAGGTTCACATGATGAATTTGAGAATCTAAAACCATGTTTTAGCCAAGGAAAAGTTGGATTTATAAAACTCTAAGTGCTGGAAAAGTATTGATAGCCGAGGGGTATGAACCAGAATTTTCAGTTTGTCTTTGGAAATTTTAATTGGTTTCTGGAAATTTATTTTATTCTTCCCTTGGAGTATAATGGTTTAGTAATACATAAGAGATGTAAATTTTAAGTTGTTTGGCAATGAAATATTGGATATATTGAAAGATTGAACCAAAATGTTGATATATAAAGGCTAGAATTTCTTTTGTGATAGCCGAAGGTTGAGTTGGAACCTCAGCTTGGTTTTGAAATTTTTCTTTGAAACATAATGGTTGGAAATGCTTGGAATATGTTGTTTTAGGGTTCTATAAGAAATGTATGGATGGTTTGAATAAAAACCTTATGGTGTTAAAAGAGAAAAAGGAGTTTTTCACAAGTGAAAAATGAG